CTACATGTCAGCACTTGTATTTGCAATTTGCACCTAAAACGTCAGGAAGACATTAAAAGTCTGAAACTATTGCCTCATAGTACTTCTAGTGACTGAGAAGAAGAGGGGGACAACAGGAAACTGTGTATTTTCCTTTTTTAACTTTCTTTAACTTTGAACCACATATTTTTAGATGAAGTGCCTGTACATTCTTGGAAGCTTTCTTCAATGTAAAGTTATTTTTATATCATATACCAGTATAATCCACAAAACTAATCAACTTTTTAATTATACTTACATCAGCCAAGCATCCAGAAAACGAGACATCACTATAACTGACAGCTGTGGTATTTGTCATTGGTCGTGGTATGAGATTCATAGATGTACCATTTGTTAGCATTAGTTTACGCATACAACCAGCAAACTTTAGATTAGTTGGGCCACGGCTATGTGAGAAATAATTGAAGGATACAATCACTGAATGACATCAACACAATCATCAGTACAGACAAATTGTGTATCACTTTTATGTTATGATATGAAGCAGTTATAGTTCAGTGCTTTGATGTCTGTTTGCAGACCTCAGTGATGCTAATCATTAAAACTATTATAAGTCACTAAATAAGTTACTGCTATTACTCCTAAGTGTACCTGCTGGATTAGTTTAAACTTAATCAGGAAAAACACTATCTATCACTTATCCACACATCGCTACATTTCATTTGAATCACTGGTTTATCACTTACAGTATTTTTGGCTTCGTTTCAATCTCTCGCTTACCACAGTCATTCAAGTCAAAGGTGAATATACCAGTCCCAATACATTAGAGTCTAATGATACAGAATGTATTAGATTGTAACTTACAGTGTGTTGTCAATAGAGGAACCTAGTGTAAGCCTTGTACCAGTCTGCAAATTAGGGAATGTTATAGGTGTGACCAATAACGGCATTACATAAGATTCAGATATGTCTCCATCACTAGATTCCACACTCAGGAATATACTGGTGCTGTTGAAGCCACATGTAGTCTGTAATGCAGAGAGGTACATAGATAATGAGTGTTTTGTTTTTAAAAATGTGTATATAGAATACAGCACAATTACAACTTTTACTTTTATGTTCCAATTTCAATTGCCAATATTTACTTTTTTGTTCCAAATAGGTATTTGAGACGCAAACCATTTTTTAAACCTGACTGTGAATCAGTCAACTGCAGGAAGCATTCGTCACTTTTAAGGTGTATGACATTATTTAATGACATTTCATTTAAATGTAATATTGATATTTTTTCATCTTTATATAGTTTTAAATGAATGAATGAAAGAATGAAAGAATGAATAAATAAATAAATAAATAAATAAATAAATAAATAAATAAATAAATAAATAAATAAATAAATAAATAAATAAATAAATAAATAAATAAATAAATAAATAAATAAATAAATAAATAAATAAATAAATAAATAAATAAATAAATAAATAAATAAATAAATAAATAAACTTCCTGTACAGCAAATTCAAACTCACACGTACCTTATACCACGTAGCATCATTGAAATCTGCTACAGTCTCAATTGTTTGTACGAGAGCTCCAGACAGTTTATACTGAAACAAGAGTTTCCTATTATATATGTACAAACCAATATAAGCCACTAGATCAGGTCTGGAGAGTAATATCAAGACTGCATCTTTCATTGATGTACGGAACTCAACTGACATACTTGCAGATGAGTAGATATCAAAGGTTTCCATTGGTAACTGAAACGGTATCCATGACAATGTTAGTACGGGTACTACAGCAATTCTACTAGTACATGTACTTATCAATTGAATCTAAAAAATTAAAGCTATCAATATCAGAGTGAATGGTGTCCAAACATCTTATGTTTAATAATATTAAAATAATCCAAATCAGCTGTACAAATACAGTTTGTTAGTACATACCTCCATATATCCATAACCAGTAAAAGAAACACCATCAGTTAAGGCAGGGTCTGGTGGTGTCACAATAGTTGGTCTATTACAGCAGGTCATTGAACCTTCCTGTAAGTCAGCCAACCACAGATTTAATTCTTGATCATCAAACTGAACATTAGAAAGGCATCCAACATAATCACGGTTTTGTAGCGGGATTATCTTTGAAAAAAAAATATATTAAGTTAAACTTAATTATCCGGTAATTGTATAATTACTGATGTACACAATCTGCATATTAATTTGTTGATAAATTACATCCTAAATATCAATTATCTTTTGAATTCACTTTCAAAATTTTTTATTATTTTGTTTATTATTGTTCCCAAATTCGTATTAAAGTATTAAAAGCAATTAACTGAGCTGAGTTTTGAAGAAGAAGTTGAAAATACAATTGTTTATGGACAATGGATAATCACCTATACCAAAGGATTTGCTCGATCATCTATGATGACAGCGGAGCTAAAAAAGTGTGGGATAATTTACTAAGAGTATACACAAATTTACTGTGGCTAGGTTTAGGTTAGGGAAGTAAGTTTGAAAAGTGCCTTTTATCTTTTATCCCATAAGTCATCTCCCTAACACAGATTTTCATGAATTTTCAACAAATCAAGGGTTAATATATAAATATGAAATAAACACAAATATAATGCAATACACTAAACACACCCATACCCCAGACTGTCCTAATAAATCATTTTCTATTCACTGTGAGATTGTGTGTTATGAATGAATTCAAATATAAACAAGACATGCATGGCACAGTCCCCATTAGTTATCAAATTTATTATATATAGATTTGTTAATAGTAATAGTTCAAACATGATACTTGATTGATTTTTTAACATTAACCTTTTCACCACCAGACTTTAACTTTTTCCTAGAAATAAACCCGGGACTAAAAAAACTGAACAACAAAAGGTCATAGCACTGTGGTGAACTCAAAACATCTTACGGGATTCAACAAACATAACATTTTTGGCTATTCATACACCCACCCAACCACGCACCGGCACCCCCACCCACCCATACCATGCACCGGCACCCCCACCCACCCATACCATGCACCGGCACCCCCACCCACCCAACCACGCACCGGCACCCCCACCCACCCATACCACGCACCGGCACCCCCACCCACCATACCATGCACCGGCACCCCCACCCACCATACCACGCACCGGCACCCCCACCCACCCAACCACCCACCGGCACCCCCACCCACCCATACCACCGGCACCCCCACCCACCCATCCAACCACCCACCCACCCACCCACCGGCACCCCCACCCACCCATACCACAAGGCAAATATTTATTACCTGGACCAAGGAAGACTCATCAAGCTGTATAACAAAGTATGATAAAAACAAAGTCAATATTTAATGGTTAGTATAGAGACTATCCCTGAATATAAAGCTATGTGAGAAGTAAGAACCATACAAACTATTGATACCATCTCACATGTTTGTATAATCCCAACCAAACACAGTCTTATAGAAACAGTCACATGGTTATCCTATTCCTATATGTACCATTAAATAACAAACTTCTGTATTTGCAGGTCTCATGGCCAGGCATTATTTACACTTCTAGGCACATCATCTATCACTTTGTTATTACCCGGCGGTATGTTCTCAGTTTTATGTATATGTATATACATTGTACATATAATAGTACATGACAACTTGCCAAACAATGATGATTAAACAATATGACATGTAATTCAATAAATTCTATCGGTACATGTTTTTTAAAAAGTCTGGATGATGTCCATGATTTAAATATCACATGACCATGTCTATTGCATTAAGTGTGAAATGCATTAAATGCTGTAATGTACCTTATACATGTAGTTGTGTACTAGTAATTGTAATAAGTGCATTATGTATCAGAGGACCTTCCCATCCTTGCAGACCACACCAATAACACACTGTATAACACTAACAGCCAGCATTATATATATAGAGAGAAATGATAATAACACTGTAATACAACATAAAACTGGTATGCTCATTTCATATATAATTGCCATATTTGTCTAAAAGTTGAAATACATATTTTCAGAAAATGTTGGCATATATTTCTCATTTTTGTTTTCACCATGGTCAAAAAGTTGTGTAATAACAGCTACTCAAAGCAATTTAGACAGGTGGAATATTGGAAATAACCACCTTTAATCAATATGTTTGATGTGATTTAGTTTAGTCCAAGAAGGCACAAAAAATTAATACAGTAGTCATCTGATTACACTCTAAATATAAATCTGTTAGCGTTATCACAGTGAGAGTACATTCCACCTTCATTCACCACACTTAAGCCACGTCAAATTATATCACACACCTTCAAAAGAAGGAAGCAATGTTAGTATTGGTGAAAAACCGATTATAATAAACAAACAGTGAACATGCATTATATATATGCAAAGCAGGAAGAAGGTGAGAAACTCTGGCAGGGATGTATATACCTGAGATATAGCATTAGACACCTGTTGAATGGATACAATTAAAACAAAGTAAAAATGTAGTTATATGTACTGTACAGTCACTTTTATATGAATTGCTCACTTCAGTAGTAGCTTCTGAATTACATAAACAGATAACTTTGTACTAATTAATTGAAATTGATAAATTGTGAATATTAAAACAAAGTAAATATGTAGTTATATGTACTGTACAGTCACTTTTATATGAATTGCTCACTTCAGTAGCAGCTTCTGAATTACATAAACAGATAACTTTGTACTAATTAATTGAAATTGATAAATTGTAAATACTTTTGAGAGATACAATTGTGAATTTCAGTGTAGAGTGTAGAAGTAGGAAATTTCACAAGGTCTTTCAGGAATTTTAATCCAGGAACGTTATCAAATCACATACATCTTTATTTTACTGTAATCTCCAAATATTATTATTAGTTAGTGGTTTGAATCATAAGGCAAGAGATGATATAACCACTAATGTGAATCTACTTCTGAAGTGATAAATAATGCTTATACAAAAAGCAAACATATAGTGGTCATAGTGACCTGCAAAATCAATATGGGGCCCATACAACTTATAGGAGTATATGTTTGATGTTTATTTACACAAAGAAAAATGTGTTTATTTATGTATTTTACTTGTGCTATATATATGGGGCCTATATAAACATAATACAATGCAACAACTGTAGGGAAATACATATAAAAGTAGAGTTTCAATTACTGAGTGGCATGCTACACGTGCGGAAAATGTTACATTGATTAGTTACAAGAAATGTTTCAAAATCCGCAGGTAATTTGGGGAGTCGGGCAGTCTTCAAGTTATTTGCTACATTATCATTTGCATTCTTGTTTCTGTGAAATGGTTTTAATTTCTCATACAATAATTTCTAGCTCCCAGAATATAAAATCTTATTGTCACTCAGAATGCACATAGGAGAAACAGCACTAAATATTTCTCTGTACAATTGTCTGAGGGCACTCAGAAACTCATACTTTTATACAAAAGATGTAAAAAGAAACAGAATTTAGTTTAAAGAAAGATTTGAAAAAAATAAACAGGAATTAAAAGACTATAATCAAAAATAAGAAAAATTGAGTTGAGATCCAAGATAATAAAGAAGACCATAAAACACACATAATATATTACCTCGGGCACTGAATCACTGGTTGTATTGAGCTGGTAAATAAAAGTACACATTAATATTATCATTAATATTTAAATTTATGCATGGATAATTAAAACACTGGTTTTAGTAGAGATCAATCTGGACAAGCAGGGCAGATAATTAATCTATCATACTTTAAAGTACACATTTTTGAGATTCTATAATTCTCTTTGAACAGAGTACAGATGTAAAGTTTGACCCAGTGTGATCTAATGATCTAAGTACAGAAGGCAATATTTCAGGGTCAGTAGATATGTCACAAAGACGACCTATTAGTCTTTCAAAGAACATCATGGAGGAAATAATACATGTACAGGTAGTAAGTATTGAGACTGAATTACTGTATTTGCTCTATAAGGTGTGTCTATGGCAATAAATCATATTTTTATAATCCTGTATAAAAATACACCAACACATGTAAATGCTGGTTTATATGAAATGTGCTTCTAATAGAACAAATATGATATTACACATAACAAACAATTCATAGTGGCCTAAATCTAAGTAAAACCACTGGCATTGCAAAACAAGTCCTAGGTATTCAAGTGTGCTTTAAGTCAAATTACAATTCATTTTTAAATTAGAAAATTCATCGTGAATCAAATGCTAATATATATTGTATACTTACTGGATAATTGACTGGCAGACCTCCTACAAAAAGTACACTATCTAGTCCAAGACGTAGATACTTCTCATAAGTCACCACACTTTTAGTATATTCCAATGCTGCTCCCCCAGTTGTCATATCTTTGACAGAAATACGACTTTCATAACCATACCTATAGCATTATATATAAAAATAAAACATGAACAACAACTCGATTGCATCTTTTTATCAATATATAGCAACAAAGAATGAAATAAACAAAAAAAAAATCATTTGTTGATAGGATTACTTATCATGTGTTTCATTTCTAATTACAAAGGCAGTGTGTATGAATTCTCCTACAGATTTATAACATTTTTATCTGTGCTTTGTAATAAATAAATAAGATTGGTTTGTATTTCAATGGGAAACATTACTTTAGACAAATATTTTCAAAATGATAGATATTTGCGTCATTCTCTTTGTTGAAATTTATAGCTATTTCGTACTCACATGTCACATATTGTGAAGGAAATAACTAAACTGAGAACATATGCTACATTTAAAACAAAATACAATTTTGAGAAATACTTAACTGTACTGAATCCAATCTATTTTAATAGACAAGTTCAGAACAAGCAACCGTAACATAGGCATTGACAGGAGAAGGCATACTAATCCATAAGAACTTTTAGAATATATATAAGTGCTAACAATTCTATTGTGATATTTTCTTCACTAGATTTGATTTGACTATTTTTTAGACAGGGTATTTATGTAAACACATGTTTTGTAATTGAATTAGCAAAATTAGTTAAAAAGACATGCAATTTGAAGCACATTTTCCCAGATAAACAGGACATCCCATTAGAGCCATATATAATGAGACAATATCATTTCTATCTATGTCATTATTGGAAATGTAGTTTTACTGGCAAGGTGTTTTTAGTAAGTCTATGCTATGAATACAAATGACAGAAACCCAGTAAAGAAATGAAATGTGTATACCTTGTTGCTATGATCTCATACCACGAATTACAGCAGATATCCACTGGACTTTCAACAGAGACGAGATCTTGGCCAAGATTGAATCGAAACACCGGATGTCCATTAATCACTTCAATAGCCATTAAAACATCTGCTGGGTCATTCTCAGTAAAGAAAAGCAATCCATTAGGTGTTTCAGCTTTCACTTTTAATGATATGCTGTTGTACAGGTAGGTTTCTAAGGGCTCTGATCGCAAATACTGCATTGAGCTATGAGCAGAGAAATGTACAGGTTGCTTGGAGTTGGCCACTGCCTGCTGGGCTTGTGCTAATTTCTGTTGTAGTATCGCCATTCGTGAATTGATATCTGAACGTTGGTAACTCGTCTCATTTTGAAGATCAGTTAGTGTGTCTACGGTAGACGACAAATCAACCAAGTCTGATTCTATCTGCGGAACTATAAAAATGCATACAAAAAGAAGAAATTAATACAAGTTATGTTCTCAATGGGCATGTCTGCCCCCATAATCTGAACAACTTGAACTGAGTTCAACACTCAGTATTCTTTCACTCAGCTGACAACAGTATTAAGCCAATTCTGCATTTAACACAGTAGCATTAGCAAATTCTCTCTTACCTAGGGTGTCCAATTCTGCATTTAACACAGTAGCATTAGCAAATTCTCTCTTACCTAGGGTGTCCAATTCTGCATTTAACACAGTAGCATTAGCAAATTCTCTCTTACCTAGGGTGTCCAATTCTGCATTTAACACAGTAGCATTAGCAAATTCTCTCTTACCTAGGGTGTCCAATTCTGCATTTAACACAGTAGCATTAGCAAATTCTCTCTTACCTAGGGTGTCCAATTCTGCATTTAACACAGTAGCATTAGCAAATTTTCTCTTACCTAGGGTGTCCAATTCTGCATTTAACACAGTAGCATTAGCAACACTTTGCTGTACTATCACTACATTTTGCTGGTCTATTTTGATGTCCTCATTCAATATTGTTGATGCAGTGATCACTTCATTTGCGTCAAGGATAGCTTTTGTAGCCGTTGATGTTGCTGTAGTTACTATAGGTGTAATTCCGGGATCTAGAAAAATTAAGTGATAATGTTTAAATTTGAATGTTTGAATTTCTTACCAGCTGATGCAGTATTATGACCCCTACAAATACAATCTTCTAAAATCACAAAAAATGAGAAGCAGTGATAATAGAAAAGTTTACATTATTGTATTAAATTTTACAACTATACATGCATATATAACTACATTGAGTTCTCTATAGGCATAATAAGTCTAACATAAGCAGCGATCCAGGATTAAGGGATCATTGTTGCTATGTTGTGATTTGATTTTTGACATTGTACTGTAATTGGCAATGAATATTTGGTTCTATCAGAAAAAAATGTGTTGTACAAACAAATTCCATGAAAAATTGATTTTACTAGAGATACTACAAAATGCTCAAAATAAATATGACCAACATGTGGAATGATATAAAGTTTGAAATTTATCTCTGAGGACATGTTCAAGTATCAGAATTTAGCAAATTTGAGATCCAAAATGGCTGCCAGTCGGCCATATTTGATCATATCTATGATGAGTCATCATGCATGATCTTTGTGTTAAGTTTGAATGTGATTGATCAAAGCATGTCTGTAAATTGGTTCTGACAACATGCATGAACAGAACCAATCAAATATTTTTTTCGTACACTGAAAAAATGTGTAATTTTTCTCGGTACGTAAAAGAATTTACATCCAAATAAAAAAAGTCGTAAAGAATAATCCAGGGAAATTACATTTTCGAAACTGTAAAACGACTAGATGACACAATTCACTGCAAAATTCAATTTTCACTGTAAACTGTAAAAAGGTCTTTTTTTCCTTGTAAATTGTAAAAAGCCCTTTTTATTTCCCGTAAAACTGTACCAGCTACCCCCCCATCCCCACCCCCCAACTAAAAATACAATGTCAGCACTATGAGTATTTGGTAGAAGTATTGATTAGGGCAGATTTGAATACAGTCTTGTACATAGTATGATATATGAAGTACCTTGTGATGTTAAATCCAATCCTGATGCTTCTACCTGAAGGGCTGCATAATTCTCTTCAACCTGTGCCCAAGTTTGCTCAGCTACAGCTAATGTACCATTGGCTTCAGTCAACCTCAACTGCAATGCTATAAAACATCAATATATGTATGAGTCACTGCTTCCTTCCCCCCCCCCCCCTCCCCCAATCAGCTTTACAATCTCCGGCCAAATATGAACAGATCGCAATAAAACTATGACACCTTAATAACCTGTAAGGGATTCAGTGTTACTTTCATTTGGGAGGGGTGATCACTATGGCAACACCGAGAGAACCTTCTCCTACTTTAGGTCAAGATATTCAGCAGAAGAATATTTTTAAATGGTAACAAATCATGTGAACAAAAAAAAAGGCAAGAATTAAAAGATTAAAAAATAGGACAATTGGCCTGTTGCCAAAAAACAATAGGCATTTCATTTGGGAGTAGGAAATGCAGTGTTATTTCCACATCTCATCAAGGCAGTTACAAAACAAAAATCAAGTCAAATTGTTCACCACAGCACTATTCCTATAGCTTACTGAACTGTTGAGTTAAAAAAAACAATTTTCTTCTTCAAAACACTGCAATATAAAGTATTTGTATTATATTATATTAGGTAACCTACCAGCTGGGTCGGTGTTTCTGTTTTCAACACTGTTTTTTAAATCATTACTGCTTGTTTGTGAGGATGCTGCTTCTTCTTGTATTTTGGACACAGAGACTTCATTGACATAATTGAGGGCTTCAGCTATCGTGGTGTTAGCCTCAACAGCTTTGGCAGTAGCTTCTTCAAGAGTTGTTATTGCTTGTTGATAGCTATCAATGGCATCAACTGCTGGCTGTCCGTGGTCTTGTGCTTCTTGAAAAACCCTGCAAATTATAAGTATGAGAATTAATAGTCATAGTAAACTGAATTTTGTGAAGAAAAGTTATTATCATTGTATTGCATAATAACTGTTTCTCATTCTAAGTAGACTCAACATAATTATGGGTGGTATACATTTTTCATATTACAAGTATGATCATTTCACGAACTTATCTATGACACTCGTACAATTGAAACTGAAAAAAGGGATGATTTAAGTTAGGAATGGACCAATAGAAACTGGGGGGCGAGTGTGTCATCTACTTTTTTCATAACTTTACATAGAAACTATGTAATTTGTAATTTTGAGATGGAAAGTCAATTTGAATCTCAATTCTAACCACCTGTTTTAATTTTAAATGGTCTATCTCACATGAAAGCTTGATACCGTTATTCATACCCATAATGGTATACTTACTCAAGTGTATCTCGTGATGTATTGTACAATTTACTGGCGTAAATTTCAGCTGCACGGACAAACACTTCAGCATTTCCTTGCTGATCGATGACACTACTTGTATGAGACTTTACATCATCAAGCACAGATGTCCACCCATTGTAGCCTTTGTATGACAAAATAATAAAGGGTGGTCATGCTTTAGATTTGTTATAAAAACCTTGTGTAGCAGATACTAGTTCAAAGGTTGTTAAAATCATGATTGTTCACCCACATGCTATATGTAAGTGAAGTAGTGATATTATTTTCTTTTCCATATAACATTGTGATAATTAAATTCCAGCATACTGAATTAGCTCTCTAGGAATATTTCATATTTTAATGATTCAGTATATAACAGTATATGTGCTTCTAATAGAGATGCACTTCTAATAAAGCAAATACGGTATTGTCTATATAACACACTAGTAAATGGGTTGGCACTATTTCAAAAGTGTTAGTTTAAAGAACTATGAAGTAACTAGATATTATTTGAGTGTCATGTGACTATGTCAAGTTGATATGACATCATGTGACCATACACATACTTACCAAGCTGATTGACGCTTGGGGGAACAGGAGCAGTACTTTCACTCCCACCATTTTTCACTTCTAGGGTATCACTAAAAAGCTGTCCAGCACTTGTAATATCACTACTAGCAGTAGTTAAAACAGTGTTGATATTATTTTGACTTGTTTCTACTTCTGATACTAAGTTCTGTGCAAAAGTCACTTGATCCTGATGATATTTCAAAGAGATCATAAACATGTTAATAAAACTAATTAAATGTCCAAGAGCTGTATGTTTTGCTAGTGTTTCATATTTCATAATTAATAATATATTGAGCTAAAATTATTTTTGGGGTACTAAATTAACACATATGTGGTGAAATGTACTATGCATATGCAAATGTTCATTCCTGTATAGAGCAAAATTACTGGGATTTGCAAACTATTATCATAATACATGCCTTTTGATGCAACGTAACACCCTGTGTTTACTCATTTCCCATTACAAACTTAACACAAATATGTTTTTATCATAGACCTTAACAATACATGATAATGTATTTTTAAGGTTTGCTCTTGATGAACTGCTTTCCACAGCAAATGTTTAATAATGAAACAAAGCATTATTACATCACTGTATCTTCTACATGACATGTGCATATTTATATCAAAGACAGCGTCCAAATATTATGCATGTTGGTGTATATCACCATTATTGTCAGATCACCCCATGGGTAAGCTGTTCATACCAATTATACAATGTGGCACAGGATGAGCTAATACATTATACATACCTGTGTATCATTTAGAATCGATACAGCTCGATTGAGGGAATCTGTTGCAGTACCCAAAATTTGATTGGTGTTATCAAGTGATGATTGCATGTCAGTGAACTGAGCATCTGCGGCAGTCACCAGGCTCTGAAGTCGATTAGTTTCTAGTGCCTAGAGGTCAAAGATTACAAGACTGATAAGTGTTTTGCAGCAAAAAAGTAATTGGTAAAACTGTAAAAAGAAACATAACTCAGCATATGTACCTGGATTGGCTATGTACAGTACTAGATGGGCTATGTACATGTACTGGGTGGGCTACATACAGGTACTGGGTGGGCTACATACAGGTACTGGGTGGGCTACATACAGGTACTGGATGGGCTACATACAGGTACTTGACAGGCTACATACAGGTACCGGGTAGGCTACATACAGGTACTGGGTAGGCTACATACAGGTACTGGATGGGCTACATACAGGTACTGGGTAGGCTACATACAGGTACTGGATGGGCTACATACAGATATACTGGATGGGCTACATACAGGTACTGGATGGGCTACATACAGGTATACTGGATGGGCTACATACAGGTACTGGACAGGCTACATACAGGTACTGGATGGGCTACATACAGGTATACTAGATGGGCTACATACAGGTACTGGGTAGGCTACATACAGGTACTGGATGGGCTACATACAGGTACTTGACAGGCTACATACAGGTACTTGACAGGCTACATACAGGTACTGGATGGGCTACATACAGGTACTGGATGGGCTACATACAGGTACTGGATGGGCTACATACAGGTACTGGATGGACTACATACAGGTACTGGATGGGCTACATACAGGTACTGGGTAGGCTACATACAGGTACTGGATGGGCTACATACAGGTACTGGGTAGCTTATATACAGATACTTGATTAGCTATGTACAGGTACTGGATGGGCCACATACAGGTACTGGGTAGCTTCAAAAAGCATTTAAGAGGCAGGCTACTTATATAAAGGTATATACAGGACAGGTTACATGTACATATGGGTACTGGATGGGCTACATACAGGTTCTGGGTGGCATATATACAGAGATTTGACAGGTTACAAACAGGTACTCGACAAGCTACATATGGGTACTGGATGGGCTACATACAGGTACTGGGTGGCTTATATACAGAGATTTGACAGGTTACAAACAGGTACTCGACAAGCTACATATGGGTACTGGATGGGCTACATACAGATACTTCGAGGCTTATATACAGGTACTGGATGGGCTACATACAGGTACTGGATGGGCTACATACAGGTACTGGGTAGCTTGTATACAGATACTTGATTAGCTATGTACAGGTACTGGATGGGCCACATACAGGTACTGGGTAGCTTCAAAAGGCATTTAACAGGCAGGCTACTTATATAAAGGTATATACTGGACAGGCTACATGTACATATGGGTACTGGATGGGCTACATACAGGTTCTGGGTGGCATATATACAGGTACTCGACAGGCTACATATGGGTACTGGATGGGCTACATACGGGTACTGTGAGGCTTATATACAGGTACTCGACAGGCTACATACAGGTACTGGATGGGCTACATACAGGTACTGGATGGGCTACATACAGGTACTGGATGGGCTACATACAGGTATTGCACAGGCTACATACAGGTACTGGGTAGGCTACATAGAGGTACTGGATGGGCTACATACAGGTATTGCACAGGCTACATACAGGTACTGGATGGGCTACATGAAGGTACTTGATGGCTTATATACAAGTACTGGATGGGCTACATGAAGGTACTGGGCAGGACATACAGGTATTGCACAGGCTACATACATGCTACATACATGCTCGTAAAGCCTCTGGAGGTATTATGGTTCTTTTCAGATCTAAATTCAGTAAAGGAATCACTAAAATTGAAAGCAAATACAAAAAGTCATTTTGGCTTAAACTCAGTAAGGATTTCTTTGGTTTAGTAAAAGATCTCTATATTTGTATTGCTTATATTCCTCCACTTGGTTCATCATACTATAATAGCAGTGAGCTTG